CCGCTCGCCACCGTCTCTCATCGATCGATGCGTGACTCCACCTCTCGCTATCGATTTTTCAGAGATGTCAACAAACACACCATTTTGCATGCTGCCGAGTCCGGCCTTATTGGCTCAGACGTTTTTCTGAATTAGGCCGATAATAATTACGATTTTGTAAAATTTTATATAACTTTTCTTCTCAGTTTAACCCAATCTACTATAATCTTTGGGGTCGTCCATATCAAATCTGACACCCTGTATATATATATATATATATATATATATATATGTATATATAGTACTCCTATATTGCTAACTCAGTAGGAAGATCGAGCGAATTACATTACGGTACAGACGATACCTTCTCGCTCGCACAGTTAGTCTGTTTTAGCACTTTTGCGCATGCGTCAAATATATATATGGCATGCCTGGACACGAATTTCGTGTTATTGTACGTATACCGAATATTTCATATATAACGTCGAGAGAAATATAGGTATTGTACAGATGTTATATTTTTAATTTTGTCATTATTTCTTTTATAATATTGTATGTATTGTAAAGAAAATTATAATAAAAATGAAATAAATAATAAAAATGTAAAAACCAAATTGTAAAGAAAAGAGGACCGTCGATTAAACGAGGCGGGGGTGGTGGAGGGCCTCTATACAGGTCGATTTGTTTCTATCGAATAAAATTTTAGTTCAATTTGATTCATTAGTCTTTTAATCGATAGAGTTTTGTTTGCTCATTAATAAAAAATGTACATTTATAAGCATAGTCAATACAGAGTAAAATTCTTTTTGAAAACTTACAATATTACGTCATTGATATTAAGCTAAAAAGCAGAGGAGTTTGACATCCACTTTTAGTTTAATTGTTGAACAGAGTTTTACTTGTTGAACGGAGTGAGCTGTTGTTTTGTGGTGTAATCAGGAACCAAGTTGCAGCGCACGATTGAACAGCGGTCAAATTATGGGCGAAACTGAAACACCAAGGCGTCGATCAGAGTCCAAAAGGCATGAGTCTTAGCACCGGATTTTTTTCATTTTTTTCAGAAATTTCAGATGTTGCAGATTTTTCAGTTTAACTATGAGAAGCATGGAGGGGGTAATGATTGTGCTTCTCTGATTAATTTTTATACAATCAATATATTCTCTTATTGGCTCGATTTTATTGATCAGATTTTATTAATCAAAACAATTTTAAATAGAAAAAAATTTAAACATACCTGTAGTGTGCAATTAACGTTAGAGCTTAACATTTCAAAGCAAATCTGTACAGCAGGTAAATCTTTCATAATTTTGTTCCATTTGTTTTCACAACAGCTTGTTTTTGTTCCATGTTGTTTTTTAATCAGTTTTCTTGTGCGATCTTCACATGTTTTATTACGTAGATGATGATTATCAGACATATTAATTGATTTAACGTGTACGATTTGCTGTGCCGGATTTTCTTTGGTAGATTGATTTTCTTCTTGCACAGGCTGATTTTCATCGGTAGGTTGATTTTCTTTTTGCACGGGCTGATTATCAAGATTGTTATCAATATTTTTTGCATTGTTTATTGCATTAGAAATATGGGGTGCTTTCCAACAATGTACACAAGCGACACTGTGTAACACAGTGTGCGATCCGGTGCTTTCCAACTACAACACAAGTCAACACAATCGTACACAGCTAAAAAGCTGAGGACTCATCTCTCCACAATACCAATATTCTTACATTTGGTACTACTTATTTAGTTTATTTGGTACCACTTATTTAGATAAGTTACGTGAAAGAATTACTCACTGTGTAATACTGTGTTACACAGTGTTCCATTGTTGAAAAGCACCCAGTATTAAACACTATTCAGGGCAATATCTACTTGTGGCAAAACACAGAATTGGCAATGCATTATTCTTTAGGCGTAGTTTAGGCGTATAAGAGAACACCATATCTTCTGGAACATGTATTCAACAAATACATAATTTATTAATGTATTCTTTGGAGCACCTATAACAAAAAAACTTTATTTTACTATTTTTTTCTTTCCTCCAAATACATATTCTCTTTTACTTCATTTCCTAGCCTAAACCTTATCACCCTTCTCCATCTGCTTTCCCTTAATTCTTTTTTTAATATTCTGGAATTCCTTCCTCTTTAATTACCTTATACCACCTGTTGTATCTTAACTCTTCTATTATCTTTAATCTGTCTTCTCTTTGTTCTTCCCTATTGATTAACTTTCCAAACCCTAATGTCTCCCTCATCTCTTCTTCTCTCAATTTCCTCCATCCTCTATCCTCTATCCTCAAAGAATTTCTTTCTCTCCTCCTCCCATCTTGACTCACCTTTTCCTTCCTTGCTTCTCTTTCTTATTTCGTTCCAGTACAACCTCGCTGCCCTTAGGGTACTATTACATTTGTCGTACGACAAATTTTTCAAGCGTGTCGATTGGCCGCTGAATAGAAAGTTTCTAGATACTCGAGAATTTTACTATCCTTCAGCCAATCAATACGCTTAAAAACTTTGTCGTACGACAAATGTAATACCAGCCTTACCCTCCTCGTCTTTTCTTAAACCCCCAAAACATATTCTCCATTGTCTCTTACATAAATATCATTAACACCACTCAGGGCAATATCTACTTGTGATTGGTTTTTTTCTTGCACAGACTGATTTTCTTTGGTAGATTGATTTTCTTCTTGCACAGACTGATTTTCATTGATAGGTTGATTTTCTTCTTGCACGGACTGATTAACAAGATTATAATCAATATTTCCTGCATTGTCTATAGACATTGCATTAGAAATAGTAGCAACACTATTCAGGACAACTACTTGTGGCAAATACAGAATTGGCACTGCATTATTCTTTAGATGTGCATTGTCTATTGCGTTAGAAATAGTATCAACACTATTCAGGACAATATCTACTTGTGGCAAATACAGAATTGGCACTGCATTATTCTTTAGTCGTTTTCTCTTATAAGAGTTCACCATATTTTCTGGAAAATGTTTTCCACAAATCTTTAATTTATTTAGTTTATACCAGGGTGCACCTATAACAAAAAAACTTTATTTTAATATTTCGTAATTAAATTCGTATAACTATCAAACATTTAAAATAATCATTTTTATAATACAAAGTTTATTTAATGATATCACTTTGATAGCTTAATAATAAGTTTAATATTTTTTGTTTAAAATCTTTTGTCTGCACCTGACATCTGTCAGGCCAAACATATTAGATATATTTTTACATACATATGTATAATTATATATATTACACTTAGTAATACATGAAGAAAAACGAAATTATATTCCCGATGCAATCGAATCCCGACATTTAAAATATACATGGACAGTAAGATGTTATATTATACATTTCTTCTTTTATTGTATTTTCTATAAGATTCTGTTTATACGGAAAATTCTAGAACTGACAATCATAAGAGACATTTTACATATATTTACAATAGAAAAATGGTTTAAAACTTACCAATCATATCATTACGTTTAATGATTCTTAACCAGACTTTTGCGACAACATCATCCTTCGGAAGCCCATGACATCCTAGACGTCTAGGAATTCCGGACGATGATGTGCACCCTGGCACACAACACTTAAGTGCCATAATTCTCTGAAATTATATAAAAACAAACATTTAACACTGAAAATTGTGGGAGGATACGGAAAATGAAAAATACGGGTAGTCTTTGAAAAATAAGCAAATCAATAATTTACGAAATTATCTTTAATAATTAGATTGAATGGTTAGAATATATAGTGTCGAATATCCTCCCGGAAAATCACAGTCATTATCACTTCCTACAGATGGCACGAACAGTGGTCAAAGTTAGATTCACGTAAAGAAAACAAGCTGTTATTATTTCAACGGTCTTACACTACTCTTTCTAGACGAAATGGAAGGGACCATCTTCTTCTTCTTCTATCCTATGGCTCCCGGCTCAAACGCTGAGCCGACACGGCCACGTCGAATCAATTGTCCTCCAATGTATAAGTCCCCACACTATAGCACACGGCCACGTCGAACCAATAGGCTAAATATGAGTTAAGCAATGCAATGGCCCGGTAACCGGGCCACGCGCGGGATGATGCAATCCCGCAGGATCAAAAATTTATCTTCCGTCGGAAGACGTGCGAACCGTTCGACTGCCCAATTGCCCATGCATGGACGAGACGATGATCGATCCTTTGTCAGGAGCATGGAGAACGTATAAGGCCAGAGAGAAGCCTGAGAGATGTCACGGCCCCGTTTTTCGTGATTGGCTAAAGTCACTATAGATATATAAAGTACCGCAATCGTCCGCCATTTTGGCTCCATGACGCGGCTATTTCAAATCCATCCCAGACAGCACACGATATCCTATGGATGTCGTCATTTTCAATACTCTCGAGACATTGTACGTCTCCAGAGATATTTGTACGTTCCAACTGTTTAATTTCTTTGCAGTATTGTATAAGATGATCTGTATCAACAGTAGAATAATTGCTATTTTTAGTGGTTTGAAATTGTGATAAAGAAATAAGGCATAATGCCTGCTTAAATTCTTATGACACGCCGTTTTGCTATTTAATACTATCATAAAAATTCTACTACATTAAATTGATACTAAAAGAAAAGAAATTATAATTATGACTAGACATATTTATAATTCATCGAATTATTATTAAGCTATTATACAGGGTGAGGGAAAAGTACCGAACCGGTAAAATATCTCGAAAAATATGGGAGATACGGAAAAATGTTTCAGACGAAAGTTGTACGGTTTTAAAAGAGCTATATAATGGTAAAA